GGAAATATTTTGTTTTGAGGACTGTGGGATGACCTAATCTTGGTCTTTAGGCTTTAAGTTTCTTAATATTTCTATTTAATATTTAGTTAAGTTTTCTGATAATTTATTTTTATTACATTTTTGTGAAGAAATGTATCATTAAAATTAATAATGATAAGAGTTGTATCATAATATAAAGGAATTTATCTCATTATAGAGCACAAGATACAATCAAATCAAACGGACAAGCACTCAATTAATTTTAGGGTTAGGAAGTTTTTTTTTCCAATGAGTTATCGTTCACACCTCTGCCTTTCCAGATACCGGTGCAAAAATTCAAGTATGCAAAAATAAAAAATAAGAAAATTAATGAAATTTTACCTAGTGGGTGATGCACATGATCACTTACGGACTCACATGACCCTTACTAGAGTGTGGCCATGTGCCCACATGGCCACAAGGACACACTTGGCCCTTACCGAGGCGCACATGGCCACAAGGACGCACTTTGCCCTTACTAGGGGCACACATGGTCACAAGGACATACTTGGCCCTAACTAGAGGCACACATGGCCACATGGAAACACTTGGCCCTTACTAGAGGCGCACATGGCCACAAGGACACACTTGGCCCTTACTGAGGCGCACATGGCCACAAGGACGTACTTGGCCCTTACTAGGAGCACACATGGCCACAAGGACACACTTGGCCCTTACTAGAGGCACACATGACCACAAGGACACACTTGACCCTTACTAGAGGTGCACGTGGCCACAAGGACACACTTGGCCCTTACTAGGGGCACACATGGTCACAAGGACATACTTGACCCTAACTAAAGGCACACATGGCCACATGGAAACACTTGGCCCTTACTAGAGGCGCACATGGCCACAAGGACACACTTGGCCCTTACTGAGGCGCACATGGCCACAAGGACGTACTTGGCCCTTACTAGGAGCACACATGGCCACAAGGACACACTTGGCCCTTACTAGAGGCACACATGACCACAAGGACACACTTGATCCTTACTAGAGGTGCACGTGGCCACAAGGACACACTTGGCCCTTACTAGAGGCGCACATGGCCACAAGGACACACTTGGTCCTTACTAGATATAATTCCCTTATGACATACTTGATACTAACAAAAATATTTACAAAACTTAATAAATTACTAGTAGTTCGCTACCGACTGATAAGTATGATAATGCCAAATACAATCGCAGTAGAACACTATTGAGGAGTAGCTTCAACCAAGCGCTCCACACGAGATGCACCTTAGTATATCGCTTCTTCGGAATGGATTGTTGAAAAGTTGCCTCAACCAAATACCATTTCGTAAAAGTGTAAAAAATGTAGATAGCAACAAAGACTTAGCTAATACAAAATACATCGCAGCCAAACGCTATTGAGGAGTAGCCTCAACCAAGTTTTTCACGTGCGATGCATTTCAGTATATCGCTTGTTCGAAATGGAATTGTCGAAGAGTTGCCTCGCCCAAATGCCATTTCGACAAGAGTTGAAGGTGTTACGTACACCTTACCGTATCAACTAACAAATGCTAATATCCCCGCAGCGAACACTATCAAGGAGTCGCCTTGACTAAATGTTCACTTGCGAATGAAAATGCTATTTTAATACTAGTAATAAGAAGATAAGTGAAAAATGAAAGATGTGCCAAGCGTTTAATGAAAAGAAAATTCAATTGTACATACCTTCAAATAATGTGGGCAGCAGAGAAACATCCCACTTCTGAGATTTTATGAATTACACTCAAGGGTAATAGAAAAACTAATTTATTGGATTCGTGTCGTCCACAATTCACATCCTGAGATAAATATTATAATAACGTAGCTGGTACTTTCAACTTAAATTATAATACAGAATCATTATGAATAATTTAAATAAAACTATTTTGGTGACCAATTTATCTCGTGACCAGAAGCCACCGCTACTCCAACAGGAATGAAACTCCGACCGCTGGCTGAATGCCCAAGCAAAAACGTTTCCCCTATCACTTTTCTTAACTTTCTTCTGATTGGTGCGTGTAGGAATTGTCAGTTTCAAACCAACCAATCAGAGACAAGCGGAATCACTATTAATTTGACCGGAAATACATATTCATTTTAGCAACTTATTATTGAAAAATAGATTATATCATGACATTATTAATCTATAATACTTCTTATATTAATTAAGTATCTTAGTCACTGTTACAAATATAATAAAGTTATACAAAGTTATTCCTTGCTATTTGCTAACAGTTCTTGAATTATTTGTGCAATTTCTAAAACGCACTATGGCATATTTTATCCGGAGATTTTTTTTAATATAATCAACACAGTACGTCTCAATTCACTAGCGCCTAGCGAGTGACTGAGTAAAGTGCGGCGATACGCCGCTATTGAATGGGACAGCGTAACTAAATACATTGTCGCCTCTTTATAGTACATAATAGCTCAATGCAGAAAATCCAGAAGTTAAGCATTTTAAATGTCATTTTAAATTTGTAAATAAGAGGAAGCACTGTCAATGTGTTTGTTACACGAAAGTAACAAAGACAATTTAAGAGATAATTGTATGATCATTGCTGAACCAACTCAACCAGAGAATGTTTTGACATTAAAAGCGCAAATGAGTGAAAGAAAGTGCACAGCACTTTAGTTTTCTTAGAAATGTCAATTAAAAATCTTTGACCCAGGATCTAATAAAGCAAAGTGGATATGAATGTAGATTATAACAGTAACAGTAGACTGTTACTGTTAAAATCTACTGTTACCGTTATAATTTACACCCACATACATCTAGAGATGAAGCGAGTCGATGTATAGTTTTATTGTAGTCCTGCATTAGTGGTTCATGAAAGCTCCCAATGGGCTATTTCTTTGTAACGATTTTGGCAGGTGAACAAAAAAGTAACCTTGTTCAAATATGTCTTCAAAATGTTATTGTAATGGTACTTATTAGAAATAAAACCGATATCCCAATAAATGCATAATAATATCGATTTGTTGTTTTTTTTTTGTTATTAATCGGTGTAGTTTTAAACTCCTTGTAAATTTCAAGTTTCAGTTTAATTTAGGTGTTTCCTTGTAATTCCAGTTTACCAGTATACCTTGTAAGAACATGGGTGCTGTAAAGTATCCGAAACGGAAATAATAATCATCATCACCATTACAGACCTTCACAAGTCCACTGCTGAACACAGGCCTCTCCTAAGGAACTCCACAAAGCACGGTCCTGAGCCACCTGCATCCATAGACTTACTGCATGTCTTACCAGGTCGTTACTCCATCTAGTGGAGGGTCGCCAGACTTTTTGTCGGCAGACAGTTTGAGACTGCCACTCGAGGACCCTTAATCACCATCGGTTGTCCGTTCTTCGAGCTATATGGCCGGCCCATTGCTACTTCTGCTTACTAATCCGTTGGGCTACGTCAGTCACTCTGGTTCTACTGCGGGTATCCTCATTCCTAAGTTTATTGCCAGGCGCATGCGACTGCATGGGATTTTTATGGCGCTTGAAGGGTTAAAAAGTACTGTGAACCACCATTTTGACCGTTTTTGCATTTACAGACATACTGTCTACTGTATATGGTCTCTGTAGGTTTTATCCGCGGCTTCGCTCACGTGGGTTTCAATTTAGAAACATCAACAAAATTAGCAAAATTGGATTTTTTTAGAGTCACCTCGGTATACGTGTCTATACTGGACGTTTATACGTGATAGATCCACGCTACAGCTTTATTATGGTTGTAGAACGATTTGGTCAGTTCGACCGGGGAAGGACCACGCTCTCATAGAATACCAGCGTAAACTGCTGTGTTTCGTATGGTGAGTGTAGAGATTCGGAGACCGTATTTTACTACAAACGAGGAATTATATCTTAGTCCTCGGGGTGACAACGCATCTGCGATTTGATTCTTAATCGGGGATAAATGGAGATATCTATAGGCCACAGCAGCCACTTACCATCAGTTGGACTGTTCGTAACTCTTATCCTATTAATAAAATGAAATTGAAATTTGGCTATTATTTGATACTAGTATGCTACAGAACTCCTTTTTTAAATCGGGCATGTCTTCCGATGCGTCTTTATGAAGGGTAAATTGTAATGGGCGTTATTTACATTTATTTGTAATTATAGTTAACCCTTAATGCACCACCCTGAGTCCACGGGACTTACCACCACTTTTAAACAACAAAAATAGTTTATTTTTTAGAGTTTAGACTTGCGACTTTCTAGAACCTTCCTGCGGTGAGGCGCGGGACGCAGAGGTGAGCGGTCGCGTGCGCACGTCGTTCGGAAAGGTAAATATTATGGAGTGTAGAAGTAAGGAGTACCAACTCCCATAGTAGAATAGTTGAAAAAGTGTCCATCTGTAAGCAGTAAATAACAGTTCAAAAACTCTCCACAACAGCGCTGGAGTAGCTACTGGGATGAAATGAACTTAGCAGTTGTCAACGGTTTAAAGTGTGCTGCTAAACAGCTCAGTAGCTTTAAAATCTAAAATAATTTTATTTAGTAAATATAACCTCGAAAAAATCGTATATCCCACTAATATTTTTCGGCACGTTCTTTAAAATTTACCCCGTAGCTATAGTGGCGCCACCCTTATTTAACGCTTTTTATGGACACTTTTTAATACACAGTCTGTACTCCTTACTTCTACACTCCATATTAAATATGATCGAGTGTGAGTCCTAGGGACTCATGGTGGAGTGCTGTGTGACAAAAATAGATTTACTAACTTTTTTGTTTATCTATGTTAATTTTGTTTTAGACTTTTACTATGGCATCTAAACGTAGAAGGATTGAATCGGTAAACATTTCAGATGATTTAGCCTCAGATATCATAAATGATTGGCTTTTTTATATAGAAGAGGGGGGAAAACGAGCATACGGCTCACCTGATGTTATGTGACTACCGCTGCTCATGAACATCCGCAACACTAGAGCAATTGCAGGTGCGTTACCGGCCCTTTAGAAAGGAGTAAGCTCTTTTCTTTTCCTGAATGAGGCTGCAAGAAGATGATTTACTGGGCGAAGATGAAGATATTGGCGATGGCAGCGGCTATGCAGCTGAATGTATTCGTGAGCCACATTCCGATGACGACGACGCCGATTATATTGTGAGTGATCACAACACTAATTCTGAATGCTCCGAGACTGAAGAACAGGATAGTAACTTGGACAACATATCATGCCTTAGACACACCAAGTACATCGCAAACTGATGATATTTTATCGAGAGATCAGCGCAAATATTGCTATACTTGCAATCATAAGAAACGAACAAAGACTGCTTGTCTTTGCACTGTCTGTAAGAAGACAATCTGCCTTACTTGTTCCAAAAAGATATGCCAAGAATGTGTAACACATTAGTATGTTAACTTATTGCACGTTTTGAAATTTTGTATACTTAGTGCCATTATTAATTATTATTATTTTTAATTATCTCATAATGTCTTCTATAAGAAAAAATATTTTATTTTGTCCAAGAGCTATAACATTCATTTTTTCTTCTTTAAGTCGTAGCAGACGATTTTTTGAGACTGTTAATTTTAAAGTATTTGTAATGTTAATTTGAGTTTATCAGGAAATGTTATCGGGTATTTACGAATTATTGTGTTTGCTAGAAGTCTAATAAATACCAACATAAATAACATCTTTCATTTAGTTTTTATTTAAAAAATTAAAACATGAGTTCCGGGAACTCATGGTGGTGATAAGTGATATTTTAATTAGTATTATAGGAGTCGCAGAAAGGAATAAATAATACGCCTGATCACTTGAGGTCTGCTTTACTCTTTGAGTATTTGGTTTAATACTCAAAGGCTTTACTACAGTTACAGCACGAAAAAGCCACTCAATCATTATTGCAATCGTTTAAATAATATCACACAATAGTGGTAGCATATCCCTACTACCTATCAAAACTGAACCTAGCAACAGTTCGAATGTGTAAGAATTATACAATTCAAACACTTTTATAATATGAAATAAAGTAATCAACTGTTATAAATGTTACAGATAAGTCAATTAATTTTACAAACGTTTAGGAAATGAAATTACTTATATAATATTCTTTGCAAATCTCTCAAATTCTAAACTAAAAATAAACTGAGAAAATTATCTATGACAATACAATAACTTATAATCAATTTTATATTTGTAATTACGAAAAATAATATAAAAGAAAAAGATAATTACATAATTATTATCTAAATGATTTTAGTAGCAATTACATATCCTATACCTTTAAACGAGCAATTCTTGTATATATACATACATACATACATACATATATATATATATATATATATATATATATATATATATATATATATATATATATATATATATATATATATATATAATCGGAATCTCTGAAACGGCTCCAACGATTTTCATAAAATTTTGTGTGGTTTCGGGATAAATCGATCTAGCTAGGATTTATTTTTATAAAATGTCTTTTTGTCCGTGTTTTTAGGCAATGAAAGCCTGCTACAATATCTTTAGAATAAGAAGGTAAATTTAGAAAATTTACTAATGATTTGACTTAGCTGATGACTTTTTTTTAATTTTTTTTTCAAGTTCCTTTCTTTTTTTTGAGAAAATCTATTTTTTCGAGCCCTTTTTTCAGTATTTTTTAAAAACACGAAAATTTAAATTAAACTAATTGCACTCATGATTTTTTATTCAAATAACCAGTTCAGTTTTTTCCATTATGTCGCTAAGATCAAAAAATATTATTCTTATTTCATCAGTATGTAATTTGTATCTAAATATAATTTCCGAATTAAAAAAACCGAGCGAAAAATACCGAGCAAAGCTCGGTCAACCGGGTACTTTATAATTATATAACAATCACTGATAACATTAGGTTAGTAAATCAAGGGTTCATATACTCGTAGCTTTGCAAAATAAATAATGTTGAATTTAATAGTCTTTTATTAATAACCGACATTGTGTTTATTTGCGATATTCGATTCAAATCATTGACGTCTTTGTATATTGTATATAACTAATATCTATATAATATATGTTATATAATATCTATTTACGTTACATGTGTGAGAAGATTATATTCATGAACGGGAGTAGAAAGATACAGATGATGGGAAACAGTGCGTTCTCAAATTACAGCTCAAAATAATAAAAGAAGCGGTTGGCAACCAGCCTGCCAAACGTGGCAACTACGGTAAATACTTTGGCAACTTTGGCAATCTATGGGGGAAATCGAATTGCTGTAGAAATTGCCTTTACATGGCAAATATACCAAGTAAAGGCGGCGAAAAAGAAATCAATACCCTATTTCTTCTCGAGGGGTATCGTAAAAGGCGACAGAGGGAAACTAAAATAAAAGATGAGGGGCAGCATCTTTCTGATAACAGCGCAAAGTCATTTTTATTTATTTTTTATTTTATTTATTTATTTCCCATTATACAATTATCTTTACAGGTTTATCATTTAATGCGATAATGTAGACAACTATTTTCACAATCTCCAACTACACAGTTACAAGCTAATAATTTTAGATTATAAATATGTACTTATTGCTATTTCAAACACCGTATCTATGTCACAGTAGGACCACAGCTAATTTCAAATAGAGCTCTTACTATGAACCCACCTACAACAAAATATATCTATGTCATCTGCTATACGGGTGAGGATACGGAGGGCGCACGTAAACGGCGTTTCAGTCACCAGCTTAGTACGGCCGCGCAGCACAGCTAGCACCTGCGGCCATAATGTCGCCTCTACACGTTGGCCAACACAGTGGCGAATGGAGTGGCGAATATATTGGCCGAGAGTTGGTGAGGGCGTCCACACGTTGGAAGGTCGTGCAGTTTACTTCGGTTCGGGCTTTTTTTTTTTGCGCCCGAAGCAATTAAAGGGCTACCCTATACGTAGGGAGGCGGAAAATGCATTACGCATACCACGATAGCCGGTCTATCGTGGTTATGAGGGGCTCACTGTCCTACCGGGGACCCTAAGTGATACCCTCTAAAAACCGCCTTTGGGGACAGGCAGCCGGCTGATTAAGCTGTATTGTGCCTTATCATGAGCGACCCTCTTTTGGGAAAAGAGGGCGCAGGCGGCTAAGTGCCGCTGAGGGAGTGCCTACGAAGGCAAATTAATGTTAGTTAATACAATAATTTAGTTTAATTAGAGTTGGCCTGAGCCGCCAGGAGACAGTTCAGGTCGTTTGACAGTTTATTAGGCGGGTCCGAGAGAGAGTTTCTCGGCCTGCGGACACGATAGCGAGAGGGGGGTGGGGCTGCATAAGAAGCTGCCTCACGAATTAATTGATTTGGGTGCGACTCTGAGACTTTGAAGAAGTTCTCAGAGAGTTTTTTAAGGAATTGTTGAATTGTTGGGAGCTCTAAGTCCCGATGAAGGTCGGCATTACGGACGTACCAAGGTGCGTTCGCAGCTCGACGGCAGAAGAGGTTCTGAACTATTTGGAGTTCATTTATAATGTTAGGGTTTGCGTGGGCAAAGACGGGGCCCGCGTAGGACATGACTGGTCGTATACAGACCTTGTAAAGGGTACGCTTGTTTCGAAGGGACATTTTACTGTGTCGGCCCAACATACTGTTGAGCCTACTCAGATAAAACCGTGTGTGACGGGTTACTCTTTTGACGTGGGGCCTGAAAGTAAGCCCTGTGTCTAGAGTGACACCTAAATATTTGGCGGTCGTATGCCAGGGGACAGGGGTCCCTAGCATACGTATTGGTGGAGTGTTTTTGAGACGGCGTCGTTTATAATCGAAGTGAACGGCGGAGCTCTTCTCCGGGTTCACATCGATGCGCCATTTTTTGAACCAAGCTCCTAGGTCATCAACTGACTTTTGGATCTTGTTCCGTATGAAGGGTAGTGAGACACCTTTGCAGTAGATGGCAGTGTCGTCTGCGAAGAGGGAGAGTTGAACACCTTTCGACGGGATGGGACGGTTCGGGCCAATATGCGGACGAATTTATAAGCACCGTGGCGCAGTGGCTCAGCAATGAGTGGCTGCACCAGGCGCCGCGGGTTTGATCCCGCACTGAACAAGTATTTGTATGTCCTACAAATAATTGTTTCGGGTCTGGATGTGTGTCCTTGTGCAATTTATGTTTGTAAACTGCCTGCGCGATACGGGAGAAAATCCTAGTGTGGGGTTAACGTTTTTATAAAAGAATTATAAAATAATAGTGGATATTAATGGGGTTGTAAATAGATATACGATATACGATTAGCTTTATTTATTCTTTACATGCATCATAAACTGGAATAAATACCATTAATAAGAACTTAACTTATTTTAAAGTTAAAGGAGTTATAATCGATTAGTCTATGTTTTAAAATTGGGTTTAATCAAAACCCAATTTTAGAATTATAAAGTTTAGCAAAATATGTACTTGCATTTCTATCAGACATTTGATGTATTAAAACACCTTATAATTTATTTGGTAATTTAATTATTTTTTGAGAAAGACAAAAACAATAGCAATAAATATAATTAACACTGACTTAATAATAGGTACTAATTATAAATTAGAACATAAATGAAAAACTCATGGCGAGCAAAGTGGCTCAGGACCATGCTTTGCGGCAGTCTGTGGAGGAAGATGTTCAGTAGTGGACTTGTGAAGAGCTGCAATGATGATGATGATTTGAAAACTTGCACGATTAAATTATAAGAAATCGACGCTTTTTTATATAGGATAGGGTGACAAACGAGCACACAGTTCACCTGATGGTAAGTGGTTGCTGTGGCCCATAGACATCTACATCTATCTTCGATTATGAATCAAAATGCAGATGCGTTGTCACCCGTGAGGACTAAGATGAAATGCCTCGTTTTAAAAAGTGTCTCCGGTTCTCTACACTCACTATACGAAACACAGCATCATTAAGCTACTATTTCACGCTGGTATTCTGTGAGAGCGTGGTCCTTCCCCGGTCGAACCGACCCATTCCTGCTACAACTATACTTCTAATATAACTGCATGGTTCTACCACGTATAAACGACATGCTTCATTTTTTTTTATTTTAAAATTGTTCTCGTAATAATCTGATTGCAAATAAATGTTCATTATTTTTTTTTTAATAGGTTATCGATTAAAACAAATGTTTAAAAATAATTAAATCGCGCGAATTAAAGTAGTAGGAATGTTTAAAGTGGAAATTGGCACTAAAAGGCTGGTAATTGGGTCATCCACCCTACAAAGCGTGAATATAAA